TTATAGATGTCTCTCACTCCCATTTTTATGATATCCGTAAATGTTATATTATAAAATTATTATTATTATTATTATTATGTTACTTTTTATTATCCGTGAATGTTAGCAACTGGACAAATTGAATGCAGCGGTCAAGGAAAAGCGACCAGAATTGGTCGATCGTAAAGGTGTCATTTTCCAGCAGCACAATGCTAGACCGCACACGTCTTTGTCCACTCGGCAAAAATTGATGGATATTGCTTGGGAATTGATGTTACACCCACCATATAGGCCTGATCTCGCACCATCGGATTACCACTTATTTCGATCCCTGGACAACTCCCTTCGTGGTAAAACTTTTAATAATGACGACGCTGTAAAATCTCACTTAACTCAGTTTTCGGCCGAAAAGGATCAGACTGTCTACGAGCGTGGAATTTTCAAGTCGTCAGAGAGATGGCAAAAGGTCATCGAACAAAATGGAAAATACATTACAGATTAAACTTCGTTCCAAGTAAAAAGAAATGTTTTATTTCATTGAACAAATCGGCGATTACTTAGTTGCCAACCCAATAACCACGTACGACGCCGGGAAAGCCTCGGATCGGCGAACGAAAATTTGGCCAATAAATCAGCTTCCCTCGGTGTTCTAAAAAAAACGAGCTGCTTGGCCAGCACCGAGAAAGAGTCGCGTTGATCGACACCCATCATCCGAAGACTGCCGAGTCATTTGATTCGAAAGAGGGACTATTTCAAGCACACTTTCCTGTGGACAGAAATAATTTCTCGCAGACATTTGGCGTCGGCGTCGGCGTCGGAGATCGGTGGGAGCGTCGAGAAGAATTAGGAGGCATGGGGTTCGAGGTACGGGAAACGGCACGAGTGACCCCTTTCCTACCTCTGTCAAACGTCACGTGGAGCCGTTTCACGCGGAACGCCCACTGGGGAAAATTCATGAGCAGTAACGGAACTTTGATGTCTTTGCGAGGAGGTATTTAGCCGGAGGGATGTTCTCTGCCTCTTAATAGGAAACGTTTCTCCCTAAGGAGGTGGAGGAGCGGCATAACTTAATCAAGGATGGGAGCCTCCGAGCCGAGAAAGACAAAGGTTCCCGTGTATATATGTGTATGGTATATATGCGCGTGACTCTGGGCGCGCGCGCGCGCACGCGTGCACGTATGCGTTGAAAGACACACAGCTGCGCCGGAACGGTGAGATAATTTGATAAGATTTACTTGAAGCTCGTCTGCGAAACGAAAAAAGTTCCATGGGTGAGAAACCGAGGTAATGGCTTTTAGATCAACGCGACACCGTAGCGAGCGGTTCGTAGAAGCTGCGGAGAATCATCCTGGACTTTGACGAAAGCTTTGCCTTCGGGATCCCTATCGGTGTATCGTAATTGTTTCTTAAATTACAGTTCGAGCCGAGACAGTGAAGTGCATAGAACGAGATACAAATTGCACAATGGGCGACGTTCGAAGATTCACGATTTGCCAACGTCGTTGACCCCTTGCGTAACGATTTCTGTCACCGCTGCGCCGATTAGCACTTTTTTGTCCGTGACCTTTGGTCCGTAGCCGGTATTGGCGCGATTCGCGACAGTAAGTTTGTGAAAGAAATGCCTAGAGTATACAGTTGCCCACTAAAATATTCGTACACCTTTTGAAACGCGATATCTTTTTTGAAAATGGGCTAGATGACTTGAATTCTTTTTTTTAGGTGATAGAGAATTGAAAAGCTTTTTTTAATTTTGGAACTTAACTTAACCTTTCGAAATGCAATAACTTTTTTGAAACTGAACTAGATGATTTTAATTCTTTTTTTTAGGTGATAGAGAATTGAAAAGCTTTTTTTAATTTTGGAACTTAACTTGGAACCTTTCGAAATGCAATAACTTTTTTGAAACTGGACTAGATGACTTGAATTCTTGTTTTTTAGGTGATAGAGTATTGAAAAGCTCTTTTTTAATTGTACTATTACTTGCAATGAAAAGAAAAAATTAAAAATCCTGGCTG